AGAACATAACTCTCTCACCAAGTAAAACCAATGAATGCATAACAATATGGGAATATTCTTAGAATATTTTTGGCTAATGTAACCAAACTAGAACCTCCAGGGAATGTTACGAGAAACATTCCAAGAACATAACTCTCTCCCCAAGTAAAACCAATGAATGCATAACGTCTCATAATAAAAATGTAAAATGAAACATTGGAAAGGATTTTTTCCCCGTGTCTGGAAACTGCAATTTACTCCCTAGTTGGAGAATCACTTATATGTGGCCTTGGTGGGCCGCCAGCATACACTATACTACAATACTAGATGGCATTAGGCTAATGTCATATGCAATACTATATATATATGTGGCCTTGGGCTCCCATCATACACTATTCTATTATTACAATACTATATAGGTGGCCTTAGGCCCCCGTCATACAAATACTATATATGTGGCCTTGGGCCCCCATCATACCCTATTCTATTATTACAATACTATATAGGTGGCCTTAGGCCCCCGTCATACAAATACTATATATGTGACTTTGGGCCCCCAGCATACACTATTAATACAATACTATATAGGTGGCCTGAGGCCCCCGTCATACAAATACTATATGTGGCCTTGGGCCTCCATCTTACACTATTCTATTATTACAATTCTATATAAGTGGCCTTAGCCCCCCGTCATACAAATACTATATACGTGGCCTTGGGCCACATCATACACTATTCTATTATTACAATTCTACATAGGTGGCTTTAGGCCCCCGTCATACAAATACTATTGTAAGCGGGCAGATTGCAGATGCGTCGACGTGCGCTAATCACGTGTCTACACTATATATTATGTGGCCTTGGGCCCCCATCATACACTATTATTACGATTCTATATAGGTGGCCTTAGCCCCCCCCCCCATCATACAAATATAACGCCGGCAACACTATAACGGCAACAATATAGATTTATAATAATGATAACACTCCATCAGTAGACATCATTTAAGAAAGAGGAGGACGACCTTGCATGTAAGGTCCACGCTGCGTATACCAGCCAGTACACAATCTGGCTACGTTGGTGTGGTAGCGCATGCGCAATATCGCACCAGAGGAGTTATATTTTGAGATGAATATGCATTTAAAATGGTTAGGGGGTATCTCAGCATAGATTTCCCTAATGAACATTTATTAGTAGACCTGTGTTTATAATTAGGAGAGCGCCCTAGCATGTAGGGTACAAAACACCTACTATATGCCCTCGTGTCCTTCCCCTTGCCTCCCCTGTCCCTGGCTCAGCCTCCTTCTTCTTCTACCGCCCCCAGCTATCTTTCCTGCCACCATTCCTCTGTCTCCCATCCCCTCTCCCACTCAGCAAGCTTGACGGACGACCGGACGGACGACCGGACGGACGGACGGACGGACGGTCATGCGATTCTACAAGCTGCATCTGACTATGTCAGATGAGCTAAAAATAGAGAAAAAAAATTAGGGTCAGCCCATATTTGCTAGGTAGGGTCGGGTTCTCGGAAACACATAATTTTTTTAGGCCTAACGTGTAGCAACAAAAACCTTCCCTACAGCAGTACAGGACATACCGTTTGTAAAGCCGGTAGTAGGCCAGCTGGATGGCTAGCTGTATAAATAGGTCCACATGTACCGAGTCCTTCAGGTTCTTCAGCGCGGACGAGCCAAAGTCCGTGAACCACACCATGATGCCCTCGATAGAGGCAATCTGCAAGACAGAGGGTAAAGTACGTATGACGGTCAGCCGGGTAGACACAGGGGGATCGTGCAGTGGCGTAGCTAGGATTTTTTCAGCGGGGGGCACTGGGGGGCCTTATATTTTCATGGGGGGGCACAATATATAACTTTTCTTTGTATTATACTGTTCTAACAGCATTGTTTTTAATTCAATTTTTTTTTTATCAAGCATGAATTTTCAGTGGGGGGGGCGTGCCTGGGGGGGCACAGAAAATTTGTGGGGGGGCACGTGCCCCCCAGGCCACCCCGTAGCTACGCCCCTGAGGTCGTGCAGAGGTCACATAGAAGAAAATCATATAGAGGTCATGAGCGGGATAGGGCCTGCAAAGGAAAGTCACGCAAAGGTCATTTTAGGGACACTTGGGGAGGTCAGTTGGAGGTCACACTGAGGGCACACAGGGAGAGGTCATGCAGAGGGCACACAGGGAGAGGTCACACTGAGGTCACAGCAAGGTCGCACTGAGGGCACATACAGATATCATAGCACTACGAACGTAAAAAAATTGAAAAAACGTAGAAGTAGAAGAAGCTAGCTCGGACGTACATTGTGAGCGTAGAACTGCTGAGTACTGACGACAGCGTCACGGATCTTGTCATCAATGTTAAACACCAGCTCTTTCGGTTTCTCCATCTGTCGCACTGCTGTGCTACCCTGAAAGCAATCACACTGTTGAGCACACACGCTTTCCACCCACTAACCTATTTTACTAAACTTTACGTACCCTGGTACTATCTAATATGCCGGACCGTACCTCGCCTACTCCACTAACGAGTCTAGGGAGTCGCCTACGCCTACTCCCTAACCCTAACCTAGCTCTAGTACTATAGCCCGCGGATCGCTGCCGCAGGCAACAGCGATCGCCTGCGGCAGCGATCCGCGGGCTATAGTACTAGAGCTAACCCTAACCCTGACGGTCCCTAACCATATCAGATCGATAGTGACCATGCAGGCTACGTTTCGGTATACCGGACCGTACCCAGGGTACGTTCCGGCAGTACCCTGGGGGACATAGACCCTATGAGCTATAGTTAGCCCGACGAGGCTGGACGAGGCTGTGCGACTGACTGTCTATATACGGTCTATACTGTCTGACGGTCTGATGGTATATAAACACAGTGTTTACTGAGTGTCAGTAGTACCAGTGGCAGTGACACTAGCTGTCAATGACACTGATCATAATACTAACTAATATTAATAATAAATTAATAAATAGGCTACTGCATGGCCCACCTTTCTAATTTTTGTCGAAGAAATTCTTTACCGTCAGGCCGACCTCGTCTAGGGTAGAAATTCCTGAATAAATTCTGAAGTGTCTTCTTCATTCGAACAGATCTTAGATCATAGAGAAGATTAACTTGCTGGCACGAGTCCAGTGTCAACTATCTTAGTACCTGTCATCATCTCTATCATTGAACCGACCTTAGTACCTTGAATTTTTTATGTTTACTAGACGTGCTGCTTTTCGCCTTGAATGCATGCCTGGCAGCATAATGTTGATCATGCGCGAGATGCTCTGATAACTTGTCAATACGGGGTCTTCTAAACACCGAAATGACTCTAAATGCCCCAAATAAACCTACTTACCTCTTGAAATGACGCAGCTAGGCGACAGATATCCGCATCCAGTCCCCTTCATACACAATACTATATGAGTGATTCTCTAACTAAGGGGTACTGTCCAAATTCAGAGGGCCATCAAATATGCATGTCCTATTCAAGGGTATATCCTGAGAACTCTTCAGTTTTTTTCACATTTAGTAGTAATATTAATTATTTAGCTCAATTTACGCTTTGATGCCATGAAGAATATTTTTAATTTATTTTGTAAAAGTTTCAGGCATTTGGAATCCATACTTTTCCCACAGTGGCCCAAAATAGCTTTGTCCTGAATTTCCATCCACTCCGTTACAACTGTATAATGCTGCCATCAGTTGCTATCCCTATGCAGGTCCTAAAGAAGCAACCAATCAGATGCTTTAATTGTTTCATAAAAGTTCTTTTCACAATGGAGAAATAATGGACAACTGAAATTTAGAAGTTTATGTGGAAAAAAGTTGAAAAAAAAGATTAGTAGCTTAATTTTATTCCTCCATCAGCTCTGTTACACCTTTTGATAAATAAGTATAACCAGGTGGGTGGGTGGGTGCCCTGGCTAAAACAAGTTAAAATCATCAACTCCGTTACGGTCAATTAACTCTGTTATAAATCGTAACAGAGTTGACAAGATGACGATGTGTTACATGTATGCATCTTGAAAAAAAATCGTAGTGAGTGCGCTGCTCGTCGTGGTTTTTGACTAATCACATATCCACCCAGCTAACAAAGTTATGTTCCTTGAATGTTATGGGAATGTTTTTTTTAGGTTAGCAGAACATTATTCAGTAACGTTCTAATAACGTTTTTTAGGAAAGTTTTCCTGACATTCTGAGAACGTTTTTACCAACATTCACATAACATTGATCAACCACCGAAAATGACATATTAACGGCAGCCACACTACGTATGCGCTGCAGCCCTATCTTAAATGTCTCGAGTACGGCAGTCCCCCACACACACACAAGTACAAAGAGTATACCTATCCCTATACCTAACCTTAACACTAAATATAATCCGCCTCGAGTCGTATATATAGCGTGTAAAAACAGATAAATTAATCTATGGTGTATAAGATTTCAAGATTCAAGATTCAATATGTTTATTTTGTGCATAAGTCGTGTATATACAGTGTACAGCGGCAAATAGGAAATATACAAGTCAAGTTAATCTAGTTTACAAAGGAAGCACAGGAGTGGCGAAAGAACCCGCAGGTTATCAACGTCTGCCACCCCTCAAAATAAAATAGGCGCAATAGATTATTATTATTGTTAATATAAATAGATACAATAGTTGCATTGACAGCTAATATACAACATGTTAGAGCTGCGTAAAATTAGTGATGCAGATCATGATGCAGTACGACTGTGTCACAGTAACAGTGTCTGAGTGTGTGTTGCAGAGGTATTTACTTTTATATATTTGAACGATACAATTAGTCTAATAGACAATACAACAATAGAGTCAAACATCAAGACTTTGGTAGTAAGTGAAATTTGTGTTTATTTACAATTATTTCATTTTTAGCTC